ATGCTTCTTTGATGAACTCAGCAGCTCTTGTGTAAAAACTCCTGGATGTATTTAAATGTTGGTTCCTCAAATCAGTTACAACCAGGCTCAGGCTGTTTTAGGTTCAATTCAATATCATATTTACTGAGGTTCTCAATGGGCACTTTCATCTTTAATAACAGTGGCATCTTGTTTTACTCTTGCAGCTTCGCATATCAAATTTTTCCTTGTTGTTACGTCAGTTCAAAAAGAGGAACAGATTGAACTTATCGATCGCCCTGACCTGTCACACGCTGCAAAACAAAACAACTCTCCAGGCTGCAGAAGCCAGGTAAGCAGATGTTGAGCTTTCCTCGGAACCCTTCGCTCTATGGGACGGCATGGGGGAAAATAAATCAGAACCAACAAGCGTTGTGATGCACTTGGTTCATTTGCAGCTAACTGATCACTCAAACCTGGACCATTGAACCAGCTGCTGACACCAGATGAGAGAAAACCTGCAGGTTCCAGTTCATGGAGAACAATTCTCTGTGTTTCCTCTTTAGTCCTTGTGGGTCTTTCCTTTGGGTTTCTCATCATAAGAAACACCGTATTCATTTACTCTTGTCTTGTCGACTGGGTAGAGCCTGAGGAGAGAGACAGGGGCAGAGATTCAGACTGTGTTAACTTGTATCTCCAATTTTACTATTTGATCTTGCAGAGAAGATATTTTGGCTGCTCCTCACTTTTAGACACTTTTTCGAATGGTTAGGGAACCAGGTTAAAGTTAAGGTAAGGGCTGGGGTTTGTTTTGTTACTGAGGGTCCTAAGAAAGACAAGAGTACAAGCTTGAGTGTGTGTGTGTGTGTGTGTGTGTGTGTCCACGTACCATCTCTGATAGAGGTAAATGAGAAACACGACATCGTCTCTGAAGCATGCTAGTCTGTGAGACGTTGGCATGGTGATGATGAAGGCAAACACATCGTCGATGAAGGTATTGAACGCCTGTCGAAGATCAATTGATAAATATTAATATACATTTATTTCACTCAACAGAAAACAAATCCACCTTTATTAATCATTAACAAATCCCATCATGAACAATTAAAAAAGAGAATCACTGTAAATGAAGCCCACTTCATAAACTCTGTTGTACTTATCATTGCTCATTCAGTAAATAAGTGAAGTGTGTCAAATCATATATGAGAAATTTAAAACTAAAACAGCTGAAGGTCTGAGATTCCTGATCAGACAATAATATAACAGCTTGTCTGTGAATCCAGATGAGTCAGAGGGTTAAACCACGTCCATCCGTCATTTCACAGACTGTCAAAGTTTTTGTTCTCACCTTGTACATAAAGGCTTTCCACGGCAGGTGGGCCACAGATTTCAGCTGTTCGATAAAACAACAGAGAAAAAATAGTTAGTTTAATGTTTGTTTCTGGGAAAAGAGAGGAACATCTGGAAAATGTTGAGTTGTGACTCAATCGGTTATCCCTTTTTTAAAAACAGAATGAATTATCAGTTTCCCATTAATGAAACTTCTTTCTGAAATATAACAGAATCCAGTATCTGTGGTAAACTGACCTTATAGTTGACAAACAGTTGAGGAAGCATGAAGAGGAAGCCAAAGGCATATACTCCTGTAAAGTTTACAAAACACGTTGATTAGCTTTTTCATTAGGAATCAAATAATGAAGAGCAACTGATTGATGGTTATGAATTGATCAGGTTAAAGGGTTTACCATTCACTAAACTGTTGATCAACCACGAGTACCAACTATGACCGGGAGAGAGAGAGACAGACAATCAAGACATGTATTGACTAGGAGACACATGGAACAAAATCTGTGCTTGTTATTCACACACCTCTTATATCGTTGGTATACTAGAGCATACACAGCTCCTCCAATACACAGTGGGTACAGGAGGTATGACAGGTACTTCATGGCCTACAGAGAAACACAAAGCATGTGACGATTAGCTTATTAAACCTGTATTAAATAATTCAAGTCATGGTTATCTGTGTGTGTGTCCTACCAGAGTATCATATTCTTCTGTTCTCCTCTCGGATTCATCTAATTTGCCAAACTGTCAAAACAGGAAAGACACAAAATAAAAAACCTCTGAACACATTTTCAAACAATCTACACAACAACTGTGTCGTCAATAAAACAAAGGGAAAGAAAGACAGTTGTGCGATTCATCTGTTTGTTGAATTGGAGCAACTTCACTTCACCAGGACTGTTTCATCATGAGGTACTGATACTGTGACTGCGACTGTAGCTGCGTAGCTCTCTGCTTTCATTTCAGTCCACAGTGAAAAGTAGAAAGTTTAGAACAGAAGCGGAGAAAATGAACAAAACTGAAATAGTTGGAGAAAGTGAGACGCAGCAACAAACACTCACTGACACACAACACACATACACCTACCAGGAATGTTGGTTTGCCTCCTTTCCAGGAAACCTGAATCTTAAAGGCCTTCTTCACTTTCCATACCTGCAAAAATTAAATATCCAAATTAGAAAAGATCCTACACATAAATAACCACATAATCATGTAGTTAATCATTTTTAAATTCCACTTAACATTTCCTTTATTACGACTGCTATGTTTCTTTCAATCAAGGACAAAAACATCTCAACATTTATATATGTGCCATATACAGGAAAAAATAATTTAAACAAAGACGACATTCATTCCACAAAACATTTAATTAGACTAAGTTATAATTAAACCAGCAGTCCAAATATTTTTTTCCATCTTCGTTAAACCTGGAGTCAAAATGCAGGTGTTAAAGCTCAGAAAAAGAAAATGGTTCCCATCCTAAAAATAGCATATTCACATTTCCCTTTCGTTTTGAAGGAGAATTCATCTGAATCTCTGTGCAGTGTGTGTGTGTGTGTGTGTGTGTGTGTGTGTGTGTGTACTTGCTTCAATGATAGAGCCGACCCCAGCAGGTATGAGGACAAGCAGGCTCGTCTGCTGGTCGAACAAATAGAGGAAAATCACGATGGTACTGAAACATCTCCACAGCACTGAAAGAAACAACACAAACATTTCCCACTTTGTTAGTGAAACACTGCTGACTCATCTCTTGGTCGATGGATAACACTTAATAAAGCGAAGATAAAAGTGTCGCCACCTATTAAATGAATTCATAAGACAAGACTGTGTCATGTTGACATTTGACAGGTGGCTCTTTTTTGCAGTTATCTGTCAACAAACATGCAAACACGTCTTTTAGTTTGTTGCCAACGCATCACAGATCGTCAAGGTGAGTAGAAAGATGCAGAATACAACATCTGGCCGCGCTGCAGTCCTGATTCACTGAGTCAGATGACACAACACACAGGTGACGCCTGGTTTCTTGTCTTACACGTTATCTAAAGGTTTATTGCTCATCAGTCAAGAGGAAATTGTTGTTTGCAGCGGGAGCTCCAGGTTTTCACAAGGCTGTAATCTGTTTAGTGTTTCTTCCCTGTCTAATATTGGTGGAGAGAACAAGTTACCCACCTGCTTTGCTCGACATTCCCACCATGCTTTTCTTCTGCTTCCAGAAGCTGATGTCGTTCTTGAACGCCAGGAAGTCAAACAGAAGCTGAAAAAGCAAAAGATCAAGGTCATGTGTTAGAAAAGATTTCCTCTTGTGCCAATCGTCTCTGAGCTCTCTTGTTTTTCATTTATTCCAGTGGAATGAGGCTCTAATGTGGAAGAGCGACCTGAAGTCAGACTCACATGGAACGCAGCTACAAAGAAGGTCAGAGCCAGGAAGTAGAGGTTGGTGTCCACAAAGATCCCTTTTATCTCATCAGCATCTTTCTCTGTGAAACCTGGAAAAATATGAGGGTTTAAGACAGTGAGAATTATCAGTGACAGAACTGTATGTGTTTGTGTGTGTGTGAGTGAGTGAGAGGGGGGGGGCAAGATACCGAACTGCTGCAGAGAGTAAACAGCGTCCTGCATGTGGATCCAGAAGCGTAGCCTCCCCAGGGAGATGGAGTCATAAGAGATGGTCAGAGGGAGCTCGGCGGAGGTGCTGTTGATCTCCTGCACACACAAAGACAAACAAATGATTACACACACGTGTCAGCTCATCGAGGACTTTTTATTTTATTATTCTGAGGCAGGAAGAATTTCAACGCTGAGGTTTGATAAAAACAAACTAATATAGGAATGAATCATGTGAATTGTGGATTTAACCACCAGAGACTCAGTTGCTGTGGCACATAATATTTATTTAGAAGGGAAAACTCACCACAAGGTCCTTGACCCGGTTGCTGAGCTCATCGACAAACAGCAGAGGTAGATACACCATCTTTTTACCATTTTGGAATCTGAAACATAGACGAATAAAACAGACTTTTTGTCTCCATTGGTCGTGTATCCAAAACGGCAGTAACACTAGTGACTCCCAAATGACCAAAATCTATCAGCATGCTTTGCATCTAACTTTTTGAATTTGTGTTTTTTTCTTTGAGCCTTGTGAGTGTTTGTCTGTTAATTATCTTACGCTCTGAGGTATCTGTGGACATCACTCGGCAGGTTTTCTCTGTCGAACAGGAAGTGGTCACTGACAATGTTAAGTGTCAGGCGCGAACGCCAGTGGGAAACCGGGTGATCCGATGTGGAAGCGGCTCCACTTGCCGCTCTGCCCCCTGCTGCAAAGTTTCCATCACCTTGTTTGTTCTTCTGGGCTTCTTCTTTGTGACCCTGTAGCGTGGAGAGGAAAGTTTTCTTAAAAATAAGTTGCAACATCAGAAACAGATAAAGATCCAGGTGTGCAGTATCTCTCTGACTGATAAACATGAAGGGTTTAGCGAGCAAACCTGATCATGCATACCTGTGTTTGATCCTCCCCGGATATTAAAGAGATTTCAGGTGGTTTGGGGATCATGTACGTGGTGAGCTGAGCCACAAGGTGGACTTGTCGAGGGTCCTGCCAAGGAGTGAGGGCAGCCTGATGGACGAATATTAGTGCATATAACGTTCCATTGTTACGGGTCTTCTTAGGGAGGGAGACATTTACTATCCTGAGGGAAAAAAGAGAGGACACATGATGAATTGAGTGTCTTTTGTATTTATATCACTGTTTTCAGAAATGCACTGAACTCTGGATATTCTCCTGACATTCTCCGGAGAGGCTGTATGTGAGAATTAAATGTCTAATGTCATTCTCCGGAGTTTCTCCTGTCAGCCCCTGAGTAAAAACTCTAGATAATATCCGAATTAACCCATCTGAGAAGACACCTGGAAAACACTATATAAAAAAGAACTATATAGTAGATGCTTATAATTTTGATTTAACCAATCAGATCTGACACCAGGAATTATCCCACCAACCTTTCAAACTTGCTGTTGACGTCAAAGTTCTCTTCTTTGTGGATCAGGGTGTGTCCTCCCTCTGCATTGGGCCGCAGTGCAGTGTAGATACTTAACTAATAAACAGACAAAGATATTTCAGGTATTATAACATTACTATTATTTTTTTTTAAACTTATATTGTTCCTACACTGCCACTTAAACCAATCCATCTACTTCACTGACCTGTAGTTTCGGGTTCTCGGCCAGGAAAGGTGTGATGCAGTTGGCGCTGCTGGGGCTGTCACAGGGTTTGGTGTACACGATCCCGTACATCACCCAGCAGGTGTGGAGCACGTACACTACAAACACGCCCACAATCAGAGTGGTGAACGACGTTTTCAAAAACATGATGCCGTCGCTGAGATGCTGTCTCCTTCAGCTACCTGAGGAGTGAGGCCATACGTCTGTGAAGGAGAAGTCAGAGAAGGAGGATAGAGTGAAGTGTGATGTTTGAAAGGGATTTTAATGGGGGAGAAAATATACTTTTCCTGGCTTGGGCCAAAAAGATTCAACTGAAAGCCAATGATGTGGTTAAGATATCTGTCTGTGACAAGTTACAGACCAGTACAGACATAAATGTTACACTGATGTGATTTTTAAGCTTATTTAAGGACACGTGTTTGCTGCTGTGACATCCTCCGCTCTTCCAGGTTTGCTTTCCACCAGATTTTGGAAAAAAGCTGCAGACGTCTACTCCCAGAGAAGTGCTGTTGGATGGTCTGGTTTGTTGTTTTCCAGTATGGCTGGGACTGTGTCTTCTTCTTAAAACATAATTTTGTCAAAAAGCATATTCCTGAATTTACGTGGGTTGCCAGATTATTTCTGTTCCTTTATTTCCATCTTCATTTTTGCATATTTAAGCAGAGTTGGCAGAGAACAGTTGCCAGGACTGGTTCCTCTGGTTTTGTCGTTGTTATATGACACTGACTATAAAGTGAAACAATGAGAGGAGATAACAGCAGGTCCTCGTGTCTCCTGATGGGAGCAGAGGCCTGACAGAGACAGAGACATCATACTGACATGAGTCTCTGCAGCTGTAAACACGATGACTGGATCTGTCAGACTCTAGATAACTGTTCAGTCATTAGCCTGAGGTCACAGAAAACAGCCACCAGTTATTCACAGCTGGAAGTGATTTACCGTCATTTTACAAATTATAGGGACGTTTAAACAATTTTAAAAAAGCCTCGACATGATTTAATCCCACACACTCGCTGTCAAGTTATCCACATGTCCGCTTTTCATCGGTTTTGTACCAGAGCCTCTGTTTCCAGGTGTTCATCGAACCTACAGATCGTCAGAATCACCAGACTGGAACACTAACGCTGCTCATATTGTGAAAAGATTGAAAACACACCGGTGTTGAATCCACAGTCGGTCGGTCCGTCAGTCGGTCGCTCGGCTGGTTTCTATCCGTCCATTCACTTCACTGCTTCCTCCGGGTCGTTAAACGAGACGACATCGTTTCTTCAGCATCGTCCAACGCTTTGACATCCGGCCGCGGGCCCTGCAGACTCCATTCAGGCCGAACACCAGCAGCTGTGAGCGGAACACACCGAGCTGTAAGCGTGAGGTGGATCTGTTAGAGTTCCGCCATCCGCTTCCGGGTTGGTTCGCTCAGACGGGATTCGGGCAAGTCGCGCGAGACTTACATCCCCCAGTGCGTTTTTTAAAATAGTTATTAGAATTTTCAGTCTGTTTAAATCAAATGAACTGCTCTTATGAATTATTGTATTAGATTTATTGTTTTTAAACAAATCAGTAGTGATGTAATTTAAGTTAAACCTAGGTTTATTTTATAATTTTAAATGTTTGTCTTGATTCCTTTTATACATTTATATATAAAGGTTTTTAAATAACAAGCTATGTAAAATAAATAAACAGATTTGGGTCTAATGATCTACTGCCACTCAACCCGCAGCCCACGGAGCAGCCAGCCGTGATCGTATAGTGGTTAGTACTCTGCGTTGTGGCCGCAGCAACCCCGGTTCGAATCCGGGTCACGGCAGCCTTTTCAAAGGAGGTTCAGCTATAGAAGAAAATTCTTTAATGTGTCTCGATCATTTACAGTCTGTGGTTACACTGATATACACGTTGATTTACTTACCGTTTAAAAATCCCAGTCGCTTTTATAATAATTTCACAAATACAAAAATCCAGGCTTCAGAGAGCAACCGTTTTAAAATACATACATTGTATTTATGGTCAGTTTGATAACGAGGCGCATTTCATCCGTTTCCGTGGTGTAGTGGTTATCACAGGTCCCCGGTTCAAAACCGGGCGGAAACACATTTATGTTTTTACTTTTAATTTTAAAAGGAAAGAGAAGTGATTCTACGTCACTGTGGTTCTGAACATTCTGTGTCTGTCAGTCTCTACACTTCTCAAACCTGGATTTAAGCAGTGTATCTCTTTCCTCCTAACAGATCCTCTGAAGCTCCGTCAGATGAGGTGAGAAGCATCCAGCTGCTCACAGATGTTCACTGGGGTTAAAGTCTGGGTTTTGGCTGAGGCTCTCAGAGACAGTCAGAGAGAGATACTTGTTCTCAAGCTAATCAAGTGTCGTCTTGGATGTGTGGGTCATCGCCTCGGTATCAAACTAGGTGCTCGGTCCGGGCTTCCTCAGGGACGCCCATAGACTGTATATAAAATAGGATGCCCCATCTCCTAGCTGGAGGATGCTTCATGGAACGGATGGTGTTAGCAAAGAATATCATCTCATGAAACCCGGGTATCATTTCCCTCATGCTCTGTTTGTTTGGTAAACTGGGTTGTCTTGTTACTGTGATTCAAAGGAACTTTCTGTTCACCGAGTCGTAAATAATTCCACCCATATTTTACAGGAGCAATATGAAAAAATACAATAAGACAACAGCTGACCGAAGTTCTTCATGATAACAGTGTTTTTATTTGCTTGGTTTAGCAACTGTACATGTGGCTCCTTCCTGAGAATACCGCTCACCTCAGGGGAGAGGGAACAGTGGAATGGAGAGAGAGAATCTGAGAGGGAGAAGAAGAGGACAGATCGTGGGGGACGGAGGGAGAAAGAGAAGAAACGAAGGGTAGCAGACTAGAAGAGGAGAAGGAATAAAAAGGTATAAATATCTCCAATAGAGGAGGTAGAAAGATAGAAGAAGACATGGAGGAGAGAAAAAGAGCAAATCATGTTGGACACACATTTTTAAAATCAATAATCTCATTTCAGTCTCCAGCGCAGTTTTAAGCGACTTTGTAACGTTTGCAGAGCAACAGCGCCCTCTGCAGCCACACATGGTGATTACTTAATTAGTCGTTTTCATGTAAAGGAAAAACAAAGCCTGTTAATCTGTGACTACGAAGTCCCACTCATTAAACTGAAACACAACTGAATGATGGATATTACCCATGATCCCTGGCTTCCTGAACCAGATGAGCTGCTGGTGTAACAAATCCACCAAACTCTGTTAAGAATTCTTCATATTTTAAGTTTCCTCGCAGAGTGTTGGAGATAAACGCTGGTTTTTAATGAGAAATTACTCTTGAACTGCTGGAGCCTGATTCTGGCAGATACATACTTCTCACAAATTAAGTTCAATTACCTTTTAGTGCAGACAATCAAAAATTAAACTGCAGCTGTAATTCACCCTTTAAAGAAAATTTACAGATTATTTGAAAATACGTTTTTTAAGAGAGTGTTTGTTAGAGTGAAACTGAAACGCTGTGTTGCATATTGTTGAGTGAATATGAATGTGAAGACAAAAGGAACCAAAAAACACGACGGCCACGACAACAACACATCTGGCTCGAATCAGATTGTATATAAAGACGGACGAGATGTCTCCACTTCACTGCTATCCAGAAATGAAGCCGAAATTAGCCTAGAGTCTAGAAGCAGTCAGGGAAGCGAGATCCAGCTTGTCCAATTGACTTTGACTTTTTTTTACCTTGGTCCATGTCCCATATACTAACACGGAGGACGCAGGATTTATAAACTATACTAAAGCCAGCTAGCAGGTGGCGATCGAGATGTTTTGGCTTCACTTTTGGAAAAGCTGTCATGTCGTCCATATTTATTTACAGTCTATGGCTCAAATACACACTAAAGGAACAACGCCACAACTCGGGCTTGTCACAGCGACGATCAGAGTATTTTAAGTGAAATGTTCCTTTTTTAAGTCAATGTCAGTTCATTTGGCACAGGGCGACCTATACAATATAATTAGCACCTCCATGGTAAATAAAAGACAACCCCTCCCCCACCTCCACTTTCCCCCTCGTTCACCCATCTCTCTTATTCACTCCCGCCTCAGAAGTGTGTTAAAAATATAGCTTCTTTGTATATTTACTATGTAGTTAACTTAAAAAGTGGCCTGTGGCAGTTTTTTAAAAAATGTTTTAAAAAGACATTTAGTTTGTTCTTCAAAAATTCACCTTTCATATTTCATTTTTTATGCCATGTCTTGATGCCTGAGATAGAAATATTCAGGGAGGAAGATGAGGAAAAAAAAGAAGAGATGAAATCATGACATCTACGAGCAGCTGTTGTGTAAATCGATTTGTGCACATACACGTTTAAAGAAGACTGAAGTAGCTGCAGACTTACTGTGAGAGTCGAGGCTGAGAAGTAATAATTAATGGTGATATAAAAGAATGTTTAAAAACATTAGGAAATCGTCTTCATTATCCTCGTCGTTCTGGCTCTTCAGTTCCAGTTATTACGTCCTGCCTGTGCGGAGAGTGTTAGTCTCGTGTTTACGCGGGGGGTAACGGCGTGCGTCCATTCATCGAAACATCTGTACAGTCCTGCAAAGGAGCCTCTGCTTGATTCAGCAATTTAAAAAGTTGTACTGGATGATGTGTTCAGGATAGGTGATGAGAGACGAGCGTTTTTCTGGATACAAAAGCAAAAAAATAATACGACGAAAAGTACAAAACAACACAATATCGACCAAAACATGAGTGTTGCCAGAGGGGAAACGACGTGATGAAAGTAAGAGGGAGATGATTGTTTCAGTCAGTCGTACATCAGTCGATATTTTTCATCCGTCCATCACTGATATCCATCTAAAAGTTCTCTTCCGGTGCCACAGCAACATCATCTCCGGACCGCCAACCCATCCAAGGCCTGATTGGATCCCCAGGGGCTAATGTGGGCGGGTCTGGGTGATCATCTTGAGTCGTGATTGGTCGATGACGTCCAGCAGGTTCTTGGCGTCGACTGCGAGGGCGTGAGCTGCCATTAGCATCTGTTTCTTGTAATCCTTTTGCAAACTGTGTGCGGAAAACACAAGACGAGTGTGAAACATCAACATGGTTCATTATCAGAACACGCAGCAGTGTATGCGATCGTGGACTCACCTCGTCATCACATACTGTTGAGCCAGTTTCATCTTCGCTATCAACTCTGCCAGATCGGAATTCAGCAACTTCTGAGCCATTTCAATCTGTGATGACAGAAATGGAAAAAACAGATGACGTCATGTGTCATGTGTCATGTGAACTGATTTGTGGTTCCATTGTGAACTGCGTGCTGTAGAAGTTGAGCAAAGTAGAACTTACCATGTGGCAGCAGAAGCACCAGCCAATCAAATTACGTTTAAACAAATAGTAGAGCGGCTAGCCAATCAAATCAAATCTGTTAATGAAAATATAGATCCAGCCGGACATCAACAATGAGCCTGGAGACAGGAAGCAGCTGGTGAACCTGGTGTGTGTTCATCCGGTTATCTATTTTATTTCGCTTCTCTTTAGCATTGAATTGACAGCTCGCACAAAAAACTGGTTATGTTCTGTGTCCAGAGCAAGAAAGACGGTGTAGAGAAGATGTGCCGGTTGTGTTTAAGAAAATCAACCCTCAGTGGTGGAGCTCAAGTATTTGCTTTTTATGGAGAGTGTGTGTTTACCTCTCTGTGTGTGCTCGCTGGCAGCACAGGAATCGTCTCATCTACTGTCGCTAGCAGAGTCCTCAGAGCCAGACCCACCTCCTGCCACACACACACATTTTTGAATCTTGAGTTTCCGAACACAAAAGTGCAATTTAATAAATTTAATAAAAAACCTAAAAAAAAGTAGTAGGTAAAACAGTGCAGGATTAAGTTTAATAGGACACTGAGTTGAGCTTCTTCTTATTCCTTAGATTCACTGTGGGCCATACCTTGACCATGGGCACGTACTCCTCTGGTGCTGCAGGTTGAATCCTGTTGGACATCTCAATCACAGCTTTGACCAATCCCGTGACGTTCTCATACACTTTGTCGTTGGAACGATCCAAGTTGGCGGTGGGAGGCGGACTGATCTCTTGAGGCTGCAACTGGAGCAGACAGGAGAGACATTTTATTATTTTGCGAAAAGTATTGATTTTCCTCTTTTGTATATTTTTAGATTTCTATGACAAATAGGATTTTTAACCGAGAGCCTGTTAATAAGGAGTGTAATTACACAGACAAAACACTAGGAGGCAGTATCTGACTTCACAAAAACTGGACACACATGTCATATCGACTAATACCATCTAGATGCATTTCTATCTAGAAACTGGATACCTGACATTTTCTACAGTGACAGATGAGTGTGTAGGTTGTTAGTGTGAAGTGACCCATATGCAGTTAATGACAGGACGTGTCCTACAGTGTCTACTGTTTATCTACTCATTTGTGCTACACCACCTACAGTGACATTTTATTTTTCTTCACCAGAAATATTGATAAAAATGATCACAAACAGATTATTGATGTCACCAAAATATAACCAGTGGCTCTTTTGCTTATTGTAACTGTTGCTACCCTCACCAACAACAACGTTTTCTTTTTTAGTCAAATGTTTCTAATAGAAATTCTTTCCCTGTTTCTGGTGAAGAAAAATAACTTGGATCTTCTCTGCAAAATGACGACAACTAAGAGGAAACTATTTCTACAATGATTACGGACACACACAGATCAGCTTACCCTCCATGGCTATGGGGGAGAGGGTGAGGAGATTGAAGACAGAAGAGGGTGAAGTGGATTGGGAGTGTTCATGAGAGGGGAACAGTGCACAGTGAACAGGTTGATGAATGTGATGGATGCAGAGAGAAAAGGAGAATATGGAATGAGAAAAAGACGATGGGAGTTAAAGGAAACAGGATGGAGGGACGTTAACGACAGAGGGAGAGAAGAAGTAAACGGGGGAGAGAGGAGGGACAGCACATTAGGGCAAAGCCAAACACAGGCAGAGTATAACATGGCTCAGCACACAACCCATTAACACAATCAAATAGAAAAATCGAATCAAAATCAATTTGTCAGAGTGGGAGAGTCCAAAACAATGTGAGAGTAACACAGCTCATGACGTCCATGATTAAAGAGGATAAATAATCTTAGGCGTTCTTGATGCATCTGTCACTTTTCTGTGTGTGTGTTTGTGTGTGTTTGAGTATTTGTACCTTGACGCCCTCGTTGTAGCTGTCCACAGGGCAAAGACTGGCCAGGTTGCCAAGGTGACCAGGAGCTCCAGGGCGGGGTGGCTTCTTAGGAGGAGCTACGTGTTCTGGAAAAAAGGAGTCAGCTCGTGTCATTGGTTGGAGCAGGCTAGCTTGCTAAGTAGGACACATGTTGACAAGTACTTTATTGTTTGTTTGTTTATTTGTCCGCAGGATTAAGCAAAAACTGCTGACTGGATTTCCACGAAACATGAAAGACCCCCTCAAATCCTGGAAACTAATATAGTTTTCACTTTCTTTAAGATGGAGAGATAGGACTTTAGTGTTGGCGGCCTTCTGTTTCTATATATGGTGTAAAGTAAGTGACTCAATTTGTCTTTTCTTTCACTAGTCTTTTATAACTTACTTTTGAGTTTTTCCATTTAAGGTTACTTTAAACTTCCACTCCACATTTCAGTGTTACATTTTGTACTTTCAACAAATATATAGTTACTTATGGAATACTAAACACAAGATTTAACCACAACAATAGGAAAATAACAATATTCTATTCCAAGTCTAAAAGGGAAGCCTGTAATTTTACTTTTACCATAACTTGTTGGGACTACTTTTATAATGTTTGTGGAAGTGTGAGTATTTATAAACCATTGCTGGTAAAGATGATGTCAGTATGATAATTCTCTCACCTGGTTTCCCAACAGGCTGGTAGATGTGTTGGCTTCCACTCTGTACAGACAGAACATATACAACAAGTTAATGCTAAATAACTTTAATGGTATAATTTCAAATTGTCAATAGTCTTTAATCATGGAAATAAAATGTAGATATATTTTTTAAATAAGAGTGTTCATGTTTTATAAGTTCAGCTGATAAAGTGCAGAGAGATGATCAGGATGATACAGAGAAGATGCCTCAGCTTAAGGATATTAATACCTCAGTCTGTAGTGGGACTGAGCAGTGCGTCTGGGTTTAAATTTCCCAAGAGCCCACTGTGGTCATGTGGTTGGTGTGTAGGCAGAGCCCTACACGCTGTTACCTTAGTCCTCCTTCTTCCTACTTTTCTTTCCCTTAACCTCTTTTTTTTTTTTATTTACTTGTCACCTCTGTTTTACCTCATCATTCCTCATGTTACTGAAAATTCAATTGTGATTTTTCTTTGAATATAAATACAAACAAAATGTTCATCCATCAAGACACACAAAAAAGTGACTGACCGGTGCTTGTAGTGTGCCGTCCTCTCTGTCGATACTTCCTCTGCTGTTTCTGGACTCTGTCTTCTGCAGGAAAGAGATAGAGACACAAAGGTTATTTTCAGACAGAGTTTATCCGTAGTCTGCCTTTCACACATGTAAAACACAGCCGGAGGTTTTCTATGAATGGGGAACAAATGAAAATACTAAATTAAGCACATGGTTTGATTCAGTTTCCATTATTGTGAAACAGCTAACGTACCGTTCGCAAAGCAGCTAATGTAGTGTTTCTTTTTAAACCCAAAACCAGACTTCGAGAGAGAAATCTAAGCAGAAAAACGATTTTACAGCTATTAAACTCCACCTCTTTTCATCTACTCTGCACAATAACCAACACAATTCAACATCACCATGAACAAACGTTATACAACTGTCTAACAGGTCTGCCACTGCCATTCACCCCTCCCTCTTCTGTCTCAGTTTCAGTACCGTTTTGGTGAAGCATGCCTTGAAGAGATGCATCCTGGGAGAGTAGAGCCTGAAGACGATGGGAGGAGGAAGTGGAGGCCATCGAAAGAAGGGCGGAGATGGGGACGGAAAGTATGAGAGCAAGGGAGAGATATGGAGGCAAAGGAAAACTTAAAAGATGGAGTGAAACATCAGAAAGAGAAGGAGACGAAAGGAACTGGTGCAGACAGAAAACAGAGCGAAGACGACTGTTTGCAGAGATGGAAGAAAATGAACAGAGAAAGAGAGATGAATTGAGTAAGGGAAGAATGGAGGGAAGAAAAGACAGAGAGGGAGAGTTTTTCCAGAGGAGGAAAAAGCTCCACTAAAGCCACAGACCCAAAATCCTGGAAAGGAAAGAGCCAGTGAACCGCCTCACTCTCTCCTCCATTTCTCCCTCCCACTCTTTCCATCTCGCGGCATCTCCCTCTCTCTGATGGCCGACTCCTCACTCGTTCCTCCCTCTTCACTGCTCATGCCAATCCCACTTCCTTTCTCCCTCCCTCTGTCCTCCACTCTTGTTGCGCCTCACAAGTTTTCATCTCTTTTCTTTTTTCAGGACTTATTTTCCTTCTCTCTTCTTGCACTTTTTTCATTCTCCTGTTGATCCTCCTGTCATTTATCACAAAGTTTACTTCCAGATTTTACCAGCAGGTATTCACTCCTCCATAACCTTTTCCACATGTTTCAACAAGAAAAGTGAATTGTCAAAGTTCCACTTTTTGTCTCAGGGATAAAAATCCGAATAGTCTATTCCCTTCCTGAAAGTAGGTAAAAATGGAGATACTGATGACCCCTGACATTAAAGGATCCATATTCTGCTCATATTCAGGTTCATATTTTCAATTTGGGTTATTTCTTGAAAAATAAAATGATCAGAAAAGTTTTGCTGCAACTCCTCTTGTCAGCCTATGTCTGAAATGCTTGATTTTAGTTCCTGTCTCTTTAAGGGGCGTGTCAGACTAGCCAAGAGGCGTGATTTATACAAATGTCGGGCATTGTGATGTCACATGATGTCATGATTCCCAGGAAATATTACTACAGACGAGGTGTTCAGGAGCATCAGGAGCTTCAGGAGCAGTGTTTTCTCACTTTGATGTGAACTTTGGGCTTTTTGACTTTGCAGACATTTTACAAAAATTAATTAAAAAAACTGAAAAAGCAGCATATGTATCCTTGAAAATGTGTTTAGGATGATCTGATTGATCTGAAATGAAAGTGAAGGTGGAAATGCAGCCAAGATGCATTAAGGATGGACTGTGACATAAACGACGTTACAAATCAAAATTAATAAATCAGTTTTTTCCACTGCTTTCATCTTCAGGCTTCCACATGACGAGGATGTGAGCAGGACAGACTATCATTAAATACACTGGAGCCGTGTATTAGTACCAGGTAAAGTCATTATTAGATATTTAATGTACCATGTTCTACATCCACGTAGATTGGTGGTGCTTATGTCGGCATACGACTCTATTTCCAGCTACCAGAACCATGATATTATCAGATTAGAGCAGAGACTCCACCACACCACACTGACTTTCTTGTTTGTATGAAGGGACATGTGGTTTTAAATCGATGGTACATCCAGGACAGCGGAAAGAAAGTTAGCCTCTCTTAGATGTGGTTGAAAATTAGTCATTTTATTGAGGGAGGAGATCACGTAATGTCAAGTAATGTGATATTTTATTAAATCCAATGAGGGATGGTTCCTCTCATGTGTCCAGTTCAGCAGGGAGCTAAAGTCAGGATCAGCAACTTACTTTTGCACCAGTGCATTTCACCTCTTAACTAAAATAAATGAGTCTTACAAGAAATAACACATATTGAGATTTAGTGATCAAGTCCTAGTTCCACACAACCAACTTCATAACACTCATCTGTGTTTTCCCTCTTTATCTGTGCTCTGCTACTCCTGGCTCAAAAATGAAACAGTCCATCAAAGCAAGAGGGGAAACAACCTGATGTGAAGGGAGAAGAAAAACAGACTTGTTTTTGCAAAGGCAAATGATTTGGCTTGGTTTTCTGGATATTTCAGTGTCTGATGGGAAAAATCAAGCACTGAGCCACTTCAAATATCTGAGAAAGATATTCTTCAGTTCATCCGGCAGCTACGACACAAAGAGCTGCTTTACTGAGTGAAGTCTTTTCTACATCTACAGAAGTGATATTTTTAATGAACCAGACCGTTTATGACAACATCCAAGTTTGTATGTATAATAAATTTGATTTTCTGACAGAATTTATTTAATGACAGCTGTTTTTTCAGAGAATGATTTGCTTGCGTTTATGATTGTTACCATGAAGCTCTCCTCCTGCTCCAACCACCGCTGGTCATCCTCCATCTGTTGTTGCTGCATCATCAGCCTCTCCTCCATCAGAACATGGCCGACACATCCACTCTCCTGTAGAAAACATTTCTGCCTTAACATGTGCATTCTGGCTGATACTTCATCGTCGTACTGCCTTATTAAGTAATGTTTATTTGCTGACCAATGATTGATTGGGCAGTGTCATAAGGAAAGAGTTTGATCTTAAAAACACAGACTAATAACAATAATATCAGGGATCAAGTAGCCGTTTTCCCGGCTGCTGTTACTTTATTCCACAGCACAGAGCGCTCTGCGGTCTCACTGAAAAAACAACTTCACCATATGGTTGAAGTGCCAGAGCTTCACTGCTAGAAAATACACTGTGATGTTTAGTTAAGAAGAAAAGTAAATTACATTTTAGTTTATGAAATTCAAGGGTGATCTGAGGAAAACTAAAACATTGCTTCATAATTTACTGTAATCTCCTAGTTTCCCTGTGTGTGAATGGAAGTTCACATGTGGCAGTGATATTAGTGTTCGAGGTAAAAGTTCAACATTAAATTCAAGCCCATGTGATTCCATAATAGTAACCAAAATATGAAAACAGGAAAATATATATGTGTTTGTGTGTGTGTTTGTGTACCTCCATGCTGGGATTCCACAGTGCAGTGTGTTCAGGTCTGTGTTGATTCCAGGTATCATTAGGAGGGTAACTGCCTCCTACTCCTCCTACACCACCATGAGCTGACGGCTGGAGGTGGAGAAATAGAGAGGGACAGAGTATATACTGAGTATATGAAAAAGAGAAACTCCATGAATCCATCATTCCCACCCTTTGTCTATGGATCTATATTTATATGATTTGCTTGTGCTGTTTTTCTTTTCCATTGCTGGAGGATTTTAGAGAAACATTGTGAAAAAAGTTAATGCAATATAAAAAACGATGATGTGTAAACTACTGTACATATGTTTATTCCTTCATTACAAGATGTTTCTATATTTTTTTCATATTTTGAGTTATGGATACACCTTAAGCAGTAGAGCACATGAGACAAAATAATGTAATTTAATAAAATAACTGATATTAATGTTATGAGTCTGGAAATGATCTGATATTTCCTTTGAGACTACAAGGGAATTCCCTTCACTTCACTCCAGTTTGTTTGAATGAAAAAGGTCTTATTGCACAAATTCAATGATTCTTTGGCAAATCAGTCCTGATTTAGTCAAAACTGATTTTAATACAACAGATAACAGAGATAAGCACAAGTGTGTATATGATAGTAGGTATTACAAGAATATTAAATTATCATTTATACTCATATGAGACAAACTGCAATAACAAGCATGTTATGATTTGATATGGAACATCCATTATTCTTCTAGTAGTCTTCGAGTATTTCAGCACGAGTCTAGTGTGTGATACATGTAACATTAATACAAAGACGTTATTCTTCTTGTGATATGATCAAGTTTGACTTAAACAGCAGCTCAAATTATACACTCACTCCTTATAAGGACAAGAGAGAAAGAGACAGAGCGGCTCATTGCCATAAAAGCTGAAAGACAGCTTTGATTTGTGTGTGTGTGTGTGTGTGTGTGTGTGTGTGTGTGTGTGTTTGTGTCTGTGTGTGTCTTTCAGCACTACAGGAAATGCCTGCTGTCTCCTCGGTTTATGAGCAGAACGTCTCCTCTCTCAGTTCACATTTCTCTCTTTGACTTTGACACGTGCAGCTCACTCTCCCTGTCCTGACTTTATCATCCTGTCTTTTATTATCCTGACAACGCTCAACCTGGATATTTCAGAGACCTGAGGTCAATAGTTGAAAGCCTGATTTATAGAAGCAGATGAGATATTTTTCCAATAACGTAGTTTAGAAATGTATTGATCTGTTTTTAAGATTTGTGATGAATTCATCTTTAATTTAGTACTTTTCCTTCACTTTTTCCAGAAGCTTCTTCACTGGTTTTAAATAGCTTGGTCGGGGTTTTATTGTTTGATGACTGTCTTTGTATCACATTAAGTATAAGAGAGAAAGCAAATCATGAACATTAACCACCTAGGTCTCTCTCTGTCTGTCTGTGTGTGTGTGTGTGTGTGTGTGTGTGTGTGTGTGTGTCTTACCGGAAAGTGGTTGTGTTGAGGGCTGGAGAAGAACCCTTCACTGGAGCGAGGACTGGGGTAACCTGGTCGACTGGGCTGCAGACAGAAAGATAAGTTTGTTCTCTTTACTACATATTCCAAACACACAAACAGAAACACAGACACAATAATGAGAATGAGAAACAGTGGTTGAAATATTTTGGCATGAGTCTTACTTTAGGTGGAGCTTCATCAGACCCTCCCGAGTCCCAGGACACGGTGACTTGTCTCCTCATCTCCATTCGAAGTCTCTCCTCTTGTTGAAGCTTCTCTTCCTCCAGTATGGTGCTACACAAGTATAACACTAACAGTCAGATATATACATTTATACATTTATTTTTAGATTCACAATCAAAAGGCAGGGGTCATCTAAAGTCTGTCAATTTCATAGTCCTTTCTTTCAAACTATTTTTCAGTGATCAAAAATAATTTACCAATTATGTGTGATAAGTATAATTATGTACAACACATGATAATGCCAGTGGTGAATTCATGTTATTTACCTGAGCTGTGTTTTGAGTTCTGTGAACCGCGGCCTCTTGCTCGGGTCGTACGACCAACACTTGGTCATTAAACTGTAGAGGGTGGGGGGGCACTGAGGAGGCATCGCCAGCCGCTCGCCGTTCTCTATCCTGCCAATCACGTCATTGTTCTTCACCCCCTGGAACGGCTTGATGCCGTACATCAGGATCTCCCACATGCACACGCCTTCATAGACACGGGAAATAAAAGGCAGTGTTTTTAAAGACAGGAAGTGAAGACACACTTGATGAACCTGACAAAAGATGGTCACAGCCCTGTTTCTTAAATAAAAACATTTTCCAGAGAGCAGAACTAACAACACATACACACACAAATGGTGTCATCTTACCAAACATCCAGACATCGCTGGCAGACGTGAATCTTCTGAAGTTGATAGATTCAGGTGCCATCCACTTGATCGGAAGTTTACCTTTAGAAGCTGAAACAAAGACGGACACAGATGATGACAAACTACCACAGATTCAAGATCAGCTATAGAGAACAGAGCAGGTTTTTACAGCTACAATAAATCTGTAAGTCAAATGGGTGAATTCTCCCGTCAAAGTAAACTGTAGTAGCCTGATGTCACCAGTAGATGATGGTAAAGTACAAGCAACATGAAAAGACTGATGTCTCTGATTAGCTGCTTGCTTCAATTAAGAGCATGAAACAAACAAAATGTCTGTGTGTTGAGTTTAGGTGGTAAAATATAAGAGCATTAGGACGTTAAACACTGTCTTTAAATACTGATGAATCACTGTTCTATGTTAATGAAAAAGATGTGCACTGTATATGCTCACAATGTTTCGCTACCTTTGTAGTAAGAGCTGTCCTCCATGTATCGTGACAGACCAAAGTCTCCGAGCATCACACAGTCGACGGATGAGACCAAAACATTACGAGCTGCAATGTCCCTGTGAGGCACAAAAAAAGGGGTGTTGTCAGACCAGAATCACTGATGTGATTTATCATTTGTTTGATGCTAAATATTCACCAAAGAACAGGAGAGGTGCACCGTTAATCACCAGGGCTGTGAATGTGTTTACCTGTGTACAAAGCGCTTGCTCTCCAGATAGGCCAGCGCCGTACTGAGCTGGTAGGCAAACAGAATGAGAGTGGCCAGGTCCAGACTGTACTTCCTCACCTGAAGGAACGAACGTAACTGTGGAGAGAGAGAGGGAAAGATGGACCGAAACACAGGGATGTAGTATTAAGAGACGATGGTTTTGAGAGTGGATACAGATACAAGGTCAAACTCAACAGCTTCTTTTGTAAATCAAAACAAAGAGCTGCAGCCGCACCTCTCCGAGCGTACAGAGCTCCATGATGATCCACACCGGGTTCTCTGTGATCACTCCGATCAGCTTAACAATGTGAGGGTGGTCGAACTGACGCATTGTCACTGCAGGGAGAACAGGAGACAGACACACGTTCAAACCCCAGTGTGCATGAAATGAGTCACAGTTTTAAACGAGTCACACACAGAGAACACACTGTGGTCTTACATGCTTCTTGAAGGAACTTTTCTCTGACACTGTCTGAGGTACAGTTCTTACAGGTCTTAATGGCGACAGGTAGAGCGGGTTTGTCCTGCACAACACGGAACACAAGTCAGAGGATTAGCAGTGAAGCATATCTAACAATATACTTCTTAAAATACAATATTTTAATTAAATTCACATTTTATAGAATACACAGACAAATTGTCACACATGTAAAACAAGCAGTTTACCTATAGTTTATTTTTGATTACAGTTTGCCTTGATGGATTTGCAGTATGTTCATATCAACTCAATTTAGTTTCACTGAGTGAATAAACAATAATATTAAATTTCTAAAGACCTATTGTAGCAGGTGTTTATATATCAGTGGGTAATCTATCATCTGTACTTGTCATTTAGATAAACACTTGAGAATCTGTATAATTTTTCACTTCAACAGTTTGAAGCAGTGTTTTGATTTGTACGTACCGAGCTGTTATAGACTCCTTGGTGCACATCTCCAAACTGACCCTCTCCGATACAGCGACCCAACTCTATCCTGTCCCGCTGGATCTCATAGTCCCGCGCTGAGAGAGGAGGAGCAGAGAGAGGAGAGAGAAAGGATAGAGATAAATTCACCGGCTGTTTTTTATGCACAGAAAAAACCCTTCACATCTGACATGCTTCTCTATTAGAGCACATGGAGGAAGTTTACCAGGACAAGGAAACATGGATGGTATCAGGTACCAGCTTCTTTAAGTACACTTAAATTATTAAACATTTTCTTGTGGTAATCCACAGGCAACTGGGTTATACTGAAATAAACCATTTATAATATATACAAGTACCCAGGGTTTAACATTCATAACATAACATTAACCTATTTTACAGACAAATGTATGATTCATTAACATTGTTTTCAAAAGCACAGCAAAAGTCTGATTTCTGTTTTTCCTGTACTGACATTAGCTGCAAGAAAACACATAAACAATTACTTATGAATAAGATCATTAATTAGAGGTGATAACCTCAAGGCCTCTGTTCATGTAAGTCCATTTATAAAACACGGAAGGAGCCTGGGTCGGGATTGTTTTTTAGAAAAGTGTTCGATGGTGAGGTCCAAATGAAAGTGGTCTCATTTTTGTTCCCCACAAAATATAAACAGTTGCTGTGTATACACATTTGCAGCCAAGCCCAGACCGAACTGAACATACTTCAGATCCAGTGCGAGTATTTACAAAAGAATTTAAATGAATATACTGAGGACTATTAACCTCAGCTGCGAATCAAACATCGTAAAAACCGACTTAATAGTAAGTTCAAGAGGTTTATGCATGACAATGACCATCATGACCTTACACTGTCAAAGTTCTTATCTGTTGGGCTGAATAAAGTCAAGCTAACCAACTGATTAATGCAGTAGGATCCCAAATACAGCACTGCAAAATTGCATTCCTTTACAAGGAGATTTATTGCAATTATTCCCTTTGGCAATTCCCTCACAGGAAATGAAATACCACTTCAAATGAAAAGACAAAACCCACAGAGAACATAAAGAAATTAAAAACTATAATCTTAATTCTAAATCAAAATAAAGAAATAAAAATGTCACAACCATTGACTGTATATAAAGATGGACGATCCCTCTACACTCCCTCCCTCTATCCAGGAATAAAGCTAAAATATCTCAAATACGAACGCTGCCACCAGAGTCTGCACAGTGGCGTTCAAGGAATGGAGCCGCGATAGCAAGTTCACACTGATGCCGGCACTCGGCCAATCATGAGTCAGTCTCAGCTGTTCATCAGGGCATTTCTGTCCATTTTTATAGCATCAAATAACAAACCAAAATCAAAGTTACTGGGAAAACCAGAACAACATCAGTGTGATAAAATCTAAAATGACAGAAACCATCTTGACATGTACTTTTTAATTTGATCCACGTCCCATCAACCAACATGGAGGGGGCTGGATTTATGACTTATGATGTTTTGGCTTCACTTTTGGGGGGGGTATCATGTCGTCCATCTTTAGAAACAGTGAATGGTTACAACCAACATGATGGTGAAACAAGAACCAAGCCGATACGCAACACAAATAACTGTGAGGTAGTTTAGCTCGTTTAACATTTTTAAGTGTTTATGGTTGACCTCTTCTTTTTATTTCCAACACCAGACCTGAATGAAGTGCAGTCTACAAAAACACCAACAATCAAAAGTCAACAACAAACTTTAACCCCTTATATATTTGTATTTTTCTTTGTTGGGTACTAAAAATCCTACAATGGCTATTTACATGATTGAAAATGACTTGCAGCAAATTTGCCCCAATAGTTTAGAAGAGTGCCCAGCAGAGAAAAACATTTCAAAACATTGAAATTTTCAGACAGACTGCGACAGAGACGGACAGTTTTTACCTTCAACTACTCCATAGCTCACTGTGTTGGCGATGGGAGAAAGAGGAAGAAAGAGAGAGATGAAGAGAGGGGAGAGGCAGACAGCCGCTTTAAGATTGAAAATAGCTGAGAAAACACACACACATTTAAAGACAATCCACTGATTTTATTCTATATTAAATGTTTAGTTCATAAATAAGTGAATGAAAACTGAGCTGATGTTGCCACAGAAAGGTTAAGAAGAAGGTTTAAAAGGTACGAATGTTATGCAGTTTATTTTATACTTGGAGCAGATGGCACAAAATCAGTGACAGAGCAGGAAAATAGTGTGTTTAGGGGAAGTCTGCTGAGAGAACCAAAAAAATCAAAGAGACGAAGATATAAAGCTGCATAAATAAAGCACGATAGAAAAAAAGACTGTGGGAGGAAAGAAGAACAATCCACAGTTCTCTGCCCAACGATCAAATACGTAAATCAACTTTAAAAGTATTTGCACAGAAGCTAAAGCCAAACGCACCAGCACATGAATGTATCCGACAGATGTAACGTGTCTCCATGAACCACATGTTTGAGTTGTAGCCTCCGTGACCTGCAGCCCGAGTCTCCACTGTTTACATAAGACGGCAGAACTGGCCTGAATTTGATCAGTCGCTACCAAACCGAATGTCTAACTCCTCATGTGAGTCTGAGCTTCACACCAGGCTGTTCTTTAAAAGATAGCGCAACAAGTTTTACGTTTGTTTGAGAGCTGAAAACATTTGACTGAAGAGCAACAGGTTTGTTTTGTGGAGATGGGCGAAGTTACTTACTGGAGGGCATGGTGTATGTGTCCTCTTCATCCACTATCTCTGCATAGTCATCGGTCTCTGCAACATCAACATGGTGTCAAATTTAACGAAAGCTACATGAAAACAATAAAGAAAACACACAACATACATGTACAGTATATATGTCATACACAAACACACACAAGACAGTCGTGCACATGTTGCTCTATTTACCATACGTCCACTACGTTCAAACGTGTGCAGCAAAGAATATAACTGCACGAAAACACTTGAACGTAAAGCAGCTAACTCTTAAAACAAAGTCAGTTTCGACAACTTCTGCACGAAGCAACACCCACGTAGCTTCTCTCTTTCCCTCTCTCTCCCTCTCTCTGCTACACACACACACTTGGCGGAGAAGGTCAGCTGAGCATGTGTTGTGCATATCTGTCTGTGTGAGAGCAGCTGGGGTGCAGGGAGTAGCTGCGCCGGGGATGGAAAAGAAAAGACAGAAAGGAGAGAGTTTGACGGAGACGAGGAGAGAGACAGAACAAGAAAGAGAGACTGGGATATAAGAGGGAGACACACACATACATACATACATACATACATACATACATACACACACACGGTAGAAGAGGAGAAATGGTGTGCGTGGCTGTCATGTAAGCAGATTGTAGTGTTCAGGATCAAATCTGTGCAGAATCAGACCGATAGGCAGCGAAAGAGACGCAGCAGGAAAAAGACAGGGAGAGATGGACCGAGTCAATCCCAACCAGATGGTGGTGTTTAAAATAAAATCAGTGTGCAGACTCAGCTGTTGGAAACGAGAGTCAAACATCTGCTGCTGTCCTGAACACCCCCCTCTCTCGCTCTCTCTCTCTTCATTCACTGCTATGGTCGGGGATTCACCAGGCTCTGTGGGAACACGTCCCCAAATTGATCAGAAATCCCTTTCTAAAGCCTGTGGCTGATTTTCCCAAGATACATCCCAACAGCCCACTGTGTAGAATAAGATGGATGAGATGTTTACGCAACGGAGGCAATAAAATACAGTGAATCTTTTCCAATGCAAATGAAACTGAAAAGTGCTGATTATTTAATAAATACAGTAGTTTGACATATATGCTTTTTTCACTAACTTGCTGGGAGTTACTCTGCTCTCGCCAAGACCGATTTCAATTTGTCCTGAAAGTGATCAGGCCATTCACAACAATTTTAGCCAATATTACTGATATGTACTTTACACAGCATGTATAAGTAGTATTTATATATCATACTACTGTGCTTGATTTTTGTTTTCCATATTAAGAGAGTAGAGGGAAGCCTTAAATGTTGCACCAATAAAATGTGTTTTACAAGACAGACTGATATAAACAACACAGCATTAGTAAATGGTGTTTTCATCAGACGTTGCTTGTGATAAATCCATTTTAGAAATATCTTCTTATGTTGTTTTTTCTCAGTTTCATCAGTGTCAATTAAATGCATAATTCAGATTTCAAACAATTTCATGACTTTTTGTTGCTGTTAAATCTGCAGCTCTGCTTCCACATAGAACCAGAACACAGAACCATTTCACACTGATGTGGACGTTTGTGCTGTGAGGTCCATTGTTTGTATCGCTGCATATTCAGGCTCATGTGGTTTTTGTTCTACAGAGTAAACTGTTTCTAAGTTTGACTGGTCTAACTCCGTCTCCTTCTGCTTCCAGTGGAGGGAAGTGTGTGTGTGTGTGTGTGTGTGT